TCACACAAAGATTTACACACAGATATTCATTATAGCTTTATTTATCATAGCCTAAAACTAGAAATGACCCCAATACCATAAACATGTGAATGGATAAACAAATTTTCATACTCAGCAGCAAAAAGGACAAATTACTGTCACATAGAACATGGATAAATCTCACTCAAATCATGGATATGATGCTGAGTGAAAGAAGCCACAGATTATCAAAAGGATGTACTGTATGGTTTCATTTATATAAAATTCTGGAATATGTATATAGTGACGGAAAATAGATCAGTGGTTGGCTGAGTGTGGGTACGGGTGAGGGAGAATAATTCCAAAAAGCAGTGTATGAATATTTTTGGAAATAACAGGAATACTTTATATTTTGATTGGGGTGGGGGTTACATGGATATATAAAATTGTTAAAATTCAATGAAACTGTTTAAAAAATCACAATGAAATAGTACTATTATAATTTTTTTAATTTTTATTTATTTTTGAGACAGAGAAAGACAGAGTGTGAGGAAGGGAGGGGCAGAGAGAGAGGGAGATACAGAATCTGAAACAGGCTCTAGGCTCTGAGCTGTCACCACAGAACCTGATGCAGGGCTCGAACTCACAAACCGCAAGATCATGACCTGAGCCCAAGTCATACGCTTAACTGACTGAGCCACCCAGGTGCCCCAGTACTATTATAATTCTTATTTTACCAGTAAGAAGACAAAGCACCAGGGTTAAAATACTTGCATTACCATCTTTATAGGAAAATTGTCACCTCTAACTGAAATGCTTTCAGCCTTTATGTATATGTATGATATTAGGTTTTGGTTCTCAGATAATCAATAAATTTTTAGGGACTCAGTGCTCCAAGAACACCATAGCAACTTCAAGAACTGATTATCGGCGCATCTGGGTGGCTCAGCTGGTTGAGCCTCCAACTCTGGCTTAGGTCATGATCTTGTGGTTCATGAATCTGAGCCCTGCATTGGGCTCTGTGCTGACAGCTCAGAGCCTGGAGCCTGCTTTGGATTCTGTGTGTCCCTCTCCCCCTGTCCCTCTCCTGCTTGTGTTCTCTCTCTCTCAAAAATAAAAATTAAAAAAAAAAAGTATATAAAGAACTAGTAATCAACAGCAGCTAAATATAGAGAGATTTTTGTTTCTTTGTTTATATTTTTTCAAAGAGCCTGAGGTACTTTTACATATAGCATTTTATTTTCCTAGCAATTTGTATTCACTGAAAGAATTTTGAATAATATTTGTGGTATTGTTATATTCTATTTTCATCAAAAAATATCATTTCCAGTAATATAAAATCTAAGGATAAAATATGCATATCAATTAAATCCCAAAGTTCTGTATTTATATGGGAAGAAACAAAAATACTTTGCCTCTTCAAAGAAAAGAAAAGAAAACCAAAGCACTAAGAACCTAATTTACCCAAGAGTCAAGATTCAAACTCCAGTAGTCATACTCTAATCCCTACATTCTTAGCACTATATCACTCTGCTTCTATAAAAGTAGAATATACTTATAATTTCTTTTCCTCCAGATGATGTATATGTGAACTATTATGAATATGTGTACTACTTTATAATTAGAAAAAAATAATATATATTTAAAAAGACAGATATTCTTCAGAACCTCCCTCCAAGATGACCTTCCATCCATTAATCAGAACATGTTGGATGAATCTATTTTTTTAATTCTCTTAATTTTTATGAAGTCACTCCTCTGTTTTATCTTCCGGTTCACATTCTTTATCTTGTTCACTAATACACCATGTAAAACTTTAACAAGGGGTGCCTGGGTGGCTCAGTTGGTTGAGCGTCCGACTTCGGCTCAGGTCATGATCTCATGGTTCGTGGGTTCGATCTCCCGGTTCATGGGTTCGAGCGGGGGCTCTGTGCTGACAGCTAGTTCAGAGCCTGGAGTCCGTTTCAGATTCTGTGTCTCCCTCTCTCTCTAACCCTCCCCCACTCACGCTCTCTCTCTCTCAAGAAAAAAAAAAAAACTTAAAAAGGAAACCCTTAAAACTTCAACAAAAGTCTTGAATAAAATCTATACCTACAGCATTTCTCTGATCTACCTATCAAGTGGCTCTCTATAAAGGACATAAACTTGTAATAAATTCATGCTAATTCCAAGAGACCACCACTTCCTCTTTTGTGTTCACAAACCACCCTTTTAATAACCTGAGCTAGAATTCTGCCCAGAATCTACATCAACTAACTCCCAGATTATCCGAGGATTACAAACAGAAGTTCAGCAATCATTTAAGTAAATTATTTTACTGCACTAAGATATAGTTCATCATACGAGACTAAACTCATTTATAATAGTAAGGTCCTTTTATATAATTCCCTTATGTACTCTGCACTTCAGTTTTCTACTACGAGTATTTGCTTGGCCCTTTCCAGAGTGGAGGTAAGCCTTCTTGACCAAGAGGACAGAAATAATTCTACTTTCCATAATTTGTTAATGTTTCCTCCTCCACCCTAACAGCAAGACTATACCTGCTCTAATAACTAAAAAGCCTTTTTAAAAAAATGATTACTGGTGGGGCGCCTGGGTGGCTCAGTCGGTTGAGCATCCGACTTCAGCTCAGGTCATGATCTTGTGGTTCATGGGTTTGAGCTCCGCATTGGGCTCTGTGCTGACAGCTTGCTCAGAACCTGGCACCTGCTTCAGATTCTGTGTCTCTTACTCTCTCTGTCCCTCCCCTGTTCACGCTTTGTCTCCATCAATAATAAGTGTAAAAAAAAGCATCTGACTCTCAATTTCGGCTCAGGTCATGAGACTGAGTCCCTCATCAGATTCCTCGCTGAGCTTGAACCCTGCTTGGGATTCTCTCTCTCTGCCTCTCCCCCTCCCAATAAATAAACATTTTTAAAAAATGATTTCTGGCATTTTCTGAAACTCTCAAATAACTGAGATTTCTAGTTTCTGAAGCTATTCTTGTTGGTTCTTCATCCATTACTCTTCATCCTTAGTTTTATGTCCTGGTTTTTATGGTCAGTACTTCTATTTGGACAGCTACTTTTGTCGTCACAATAGCCTCTTCAAGTACTTCTTTATTCCTCATTGGAATCACTTATAATAATGGCACTGTCAAATTTGCATTATTTAGTATTTCCCATTCCACTTGAGAACACATCCCAGTTACTTTAAATTTTTTTTGATGTTTATTTTTGAAAGAGAGAAAGAGAGAGACAAAGGTGAACAGGGGAGGGGCAGAGAGAGAGGGAGACACAGAATCTGAAGCATGTTCTGGGCTCCAAGCTGTCAGCACAGAGCCGGATGTGGTGCTTGAACTTACAAATCACGAGATCATAACCTGAGCCCAAGTCAGACACTTAACCAACCGAGCTACACAGGCAACCCCTCCCCAATTACTTTAAAGAGAGAAGCTATATATTTGGCATAATTACCCTGACATTGCTTAAAATATATCTGAAATTTGGCCAAAAACTCCTTTTAGGAGGGTGTTCCCTCCCAAATCAGTTTTATTACTTTATAGTCACATCTCCTCTTTGACAGAAACTGTATTGCCTAGTTTGGTCACCTATCTCTTTCTCTTTCTTTCTAAATATTCATTTTTGAGAGACAGCACCAGCAGGGGAGGAGCAGACATAGAAGGGGACAGAGGATCTGAAGCAGGCTCTGTACTGATAGCAGCATGCCCAATGTGGGGCTTGAACTCACAAACTGTGAGATCATGACCTGAGCTAAAGCCAAGAGTAAGAACCTAACCAGCTGAGCCACCCAATCACCCCCTCCTATCTCATTATTAATAATCAAAGCTAACATTTCCTGGGGATGTACTATGTGACAAGCACTACATTAAGACACTTTCCATATATTCTCAGATTTAATCCTCACAACCCTGAGGAGGAAATACTATCATTATCCAATTTTACTGGTAAAGTAGCAAAGATTTCAATAAGCCTGACTAAGGCCACACAGTTACTAAATAATAGAGCTACACTCTGAGCCCAAATTTGTCTGAGTAAAAACCAAAACAAGGGGTGCTTAGGTAGCTCAGTTGTTTGAGCGTCCAACTCTTGATTTTGGCTTGGGTCATGATCTCAGGGTTGTGGGATCGAGCCCTGTGTTGAGTCCCGTGTTGGGCTGGGCTCAACGTAGAGCCTGCTTAAGGTTCCCGCTCTCTCCCTGTGCCCTTCTCCCCTGCTCACTCTAAAATAAAAAAATAAAAAATAACAAAAAAATCCCAAAACAAAACCCAAGTTTTTTCTATTATGTCTCCTAGCCATTCACAGGCAGGGTAACTTTAAAGACAAAGTGGAAAATGAGAGGTTTCATTTTAAGGTGACTTATAAAATGCAGGGATTCTGAAAAGAAATGTATGAAAACTTGTAAATCAAGTCTTTGAGAATCATTTCAAATTAATTACCTTGAAAAGCTTTAAAGTTTGGGAAGTTTTCTTAAGAACAGCTTCTAGAATTATAACCATTCTTTAAATATCTTCAATTCTGACAAATACTCATTTTTGAGAATAATTTCTATTTTGGAAACAGCTTGGTCATTTAGAACTAAGTATTGTAAATCAGAAACAGTGACTTAGGTTGGCATAACATCTAGCATGCCTTTGGAGTATGACAGTCATAAATTTGAGTCAGAGCTCTACCATCCTAACTTCTACTAAATTAAATTCTCTGAGCCCTCATTCTCTCATCTGAAAAGGAAGAAAGGTATCATCTACCTCACAACCATTGTGAACATTAAACGAACACTGTATATATAGTTTCTGGCTATATATATTATATGTATAATATCAATAGATAAAACATACATGTATGGCAAATAATAAACATTTGTTTTCTTCTCCACTCTAGTGTTAATCATTACTTCAAACTGAACCACATATGACAAATCTGTCAATTTAATACAAGAAAGCAAGTGATTTTCAGTCTATCCATTTTCCAGTTATTGATTTTTTTGCTCTAAATTTTATGAAACAGTATTTTAATGTACGCAGAAGTCAGTGGGGAACTTACCTATGGAAACCATCTTTCAAAACTTCTTGCCTCAAAATAATTTCAGAACAAATGGCCCTTATGCCTATAAGAACCAGAAGATTTTTTTTAAATGAGTGCTCTATGAAAGAATATTTACTTTTTTTAAAAATATTTTTTATTTATTTTTAGGAGAGAGAGAGAGAGAGAGACAGCGTGAGCAGGAGAGGGTCAGAGAGAGAGGGAGATACAGATTCTGAAATAGGCTCCAGGCTCTGAGCTGGCAGTCAGCACAGAGCCCGACGCAGGGCTCGAACCCACGAACCATGAGATCATGACCTGAGCCGAAGTTGGATGCCCAGGAGCCCCAAAGAATATTTAAATAATAAAAAAGTAATTGTTTGAATAGGCTTCACTTGCCTGCAAAATCTAACCAACCTAATAAACAAAACAAAAGCTTTTAAAACTTAAGCAATTTGAGATACCTAAAAAGGCTACTTCTAATACAGCAAAGGGTTAAGAACATTGACTTTGTTCTTTTAAATCCCAGTCTGTCACTTAATAGCTATGTGACTTTGGACAAGACAGTTTATCTCTCTGCCAGTTGTCATGAAAATGTAATAAATGCAGAAGCACTTACACCAGGGCTTTCTACATAGTAAAAGCTCAATACAGGTGTTTGTTACTGATACTACTTTATTCAGATGATCCCGGGACACCAAAAGGAACAGAATGGCTAAAGAGCCAGGAGATCTCAGTTTTAATCCTAGCTCACTGAAACTGTGTGTCTGATACATATGCCAACTTCTATATACCATCCGCACCTGTAAAACTAAGATGGTACTATTATGCCTTGTGCAGATGTTGGAAATATTTAAAATAAAAACAAAAGCAGAGGCTTTTCAAAGGTTCCTTTATAAACTGAGAATAACCATAAATCTCACTGTACTGACACCATACAGAATTCAGATATTAAAACTATCACTCTATGTTAATATCATAAAATTTAAAAATTCAGTTACTAACGATCATCAACTTTGCTGAGCACCTTGCTATGGAATTTTACTCCATTTTCAAAAGCTGGGAATATGTAAGAAGAACATTACAACAAACACAAAGAAAATCATAAACTATTAGATGTATTCCTGAAAAGACGCATGTAAAATTATATGAAAATAAAAACAGTGAAAAAATATGGTTTAATATTTATTATGTAATATCCATGGGCACCTGGCTGGCTCAGTTGGTTAAGCTTCCAACTTTGGCTCAGGTCATCATCTCACATGAGACCCAGCCCCACATCAGGCTATCAGCACAGATTCACTTTGGATCCTCTGCCTCCTCCTCTCTCTGCCCCTCCCCAGCTCGTGTTCACTCTTTCTCTCTCTCTCAAAAATAAATTAAAAAAAATATATATCCATATGATAGATCTACTTGGGGCTTTCATGTGTTTTAATTTCCACAACCTAGCAAAATATGCAGGCAAAATTACTGCCATTTGCACACAGGAAGAAACTGATACTAAGGGTGCCTGGCTGGCTCAGTCTGAAGAGAGTTCAACTCTTGATCTCGAGGTCATATGTTCCAGCCCCACAGTGGGTGTAGAGAATACTTAAATAAATAAAACGTAATAAAAAAATAAATAGTTCTGATTCTTGGCCATACTACTAAGTGACTGATTAGAAGCAAGATTTGCCTGACTTGTAAAGCCTAAGATATTTCCACTCTCCTAGCTATTTAAAGAAATCTGTATTTGCTCTGGAAACAAATTACTGTTTGTTTCAAACAAATAACTTTGGGTAGCTCTTGTACAAATCCAGATGTTTCTTTACTATGTTTAATTTTAATAGGAGTGGGGAGTAAGTGTTTATATCTACCTATAGATTAAATTAGAAAAAAAAGTTCACATGGAGGAGGGCATTTGCTGGGATGAGCACTGGTGTTATATGTAAACCACTTTGACAATAAACTATTTAAGGGAAAAAAAGGAAAAAAGTTCATATCAATTGGCTTAAATTCTACTGTAAATTTAAGTAGTAGTAAATCACGTTCACCTGGGATGGAAGAAAGCCAGATTTACAGACACTATAGCAAACAGTAATTATTTGTGATTTTTAAGGCAAAAATACCATTTTCAAAATGAATTTGTTGCGTGTGAATTCACCTTCAAGATTTTTCCTCTTAAATACTACTTTATTTGGTTAATGCGGCCTGAACTGGCTCTTGACATTGACCTCTTTTTAATCATAAAATACCAGTGGTTCAAAAATTAGAGACCACCAAGACCAGTTGTTTAAAAATTCATTTTAGCTTCAAAATACTTCAAATAAATTTGGAAACCTAATATGTGAGAACACAAAAGCAGTGACTGACATTAGTCTAATATCCTCGTTTTACAGATGGAGAAACTTCTCTGGTTTGCTCTGACTTTCCTTCCTGTTAGGACCACTGAACTCCCTCACTATTCTGCAAGCTGGATCCACAGCACCTAGCACGGTACTGCAGCCCAACTCAGGGCCAAAGAAATGAATCAACTTGCTTGCCCAGCCCACAGTCGTAAGAAAAACCCCAGCCCAATCCGATCTAGTACAAAAAAAATATTTGTAAAACAAAACTAGTTGTCCTCCCCTTCCCACGTCCCCACCCCCGGCTGGCTCTGTATTCTGGATTGGGATTCTCACACCCCACAGGGCACTGTGGCCTTGTTGGTCCCCTTGGTGGTCACATACTTCATGCATCCCAAGACATCTGACGGCTGTACTTCTTTCATAATAACTAAAGTACGGATACTACTAGCACTGAACGACAAAGCCCAACTCTTCAGAGACCCAGAAGGGGCCTCTAAGCAATGGCGGGGTAGAGGGTGTGGGAAATGGGAGAGGCACGTGCCCTCTGTTTTTAACCTCCTCCAGGTCACCCAAAAGTTCTAGGCCCTCGGTCCGAGCTACGGAAAAGTACTGTACCTTTTTGCAAAGCCCTGAGGGCCTGGGAGTCTACACTGCCCCAGACCGGAGTCAAGCCCTCACCACCACCCCCCCCGCAGCCCCGCCCCTCCCTTTACCGGTGTCGGTGGGGGCGGCAGAGAAGGTCGTGGCTGGTGTGCTGGTGAGTCCAGCCGCCTCCCAGAGTAGCAGCCAGGCCACCGCCCGGACGCCCACTGCCCTGGCAGCCAGGACGCTGGAGAACGCGCTCCCCAGAGCGCGCGCGGACGATACGCGGACGGAGGAGCTTGCCGACAGAGGGGCCTTCGCACGCCTCACGCCGCTCCTGGAGCGTGCTGCCACGGAGTTGGTGACCGAGACGGAAGACTCGGTGACGCGCGCCTACGGTCCTGCCGTTCGCCGGCTCCCCACCGCAGTGGATCCGCTGAAAGTTCCGGCGTCGCTGGAGGCTGCAGCCGAGTCCGCGTACTCGCTCCCTCGCCGCCCGCCCCTTGCCGTCCGGTCGGAGGCGGGGCAAGGAGCGGCGCAGGCGCCGTGACCTGAGCCGGGTCTGTTGCTTTGGGAACGCCTGCCTGGGCCTGCTTCCAGACCGCGACCCCTGGACGCAGTCTTTCGAGCAGGACCCGGGAGCTCCCTGTCTCCACCCGCACTTACAGGTACTTGCGGATTCGGGCCTCCTGCAGGGAAATTCACGTCTGCGGGGACTGTGGCTGTCGACTCTTCCTGCAGCGCCAGGTTCTGCCCGCCCTCAAAATCGAGTTAAGTGCTCCTCTGTGCACAGTAGTTGGGTGGAAACAACCCTCTTACAGTGGTTTTATATCTTCCCCTGCAGAAGATGCACTTTCTGTACTTCTCTAAGGGTGAGAAAGTCAGCCTTGCACTAGTGGGGACGTGAGTAGGGAGAGGATCATCTACCTATTGACAAAATAGGTTATGGCAGTCACTGTTCCCCAGGGAGAAGAGTATTAGTGCCTAGGAGGAAGACTTAGATAAATATGTCGCCTGTCTTCATGAATTAAGTTAAATCTGCGGGTAGGCCTAGATGAAGATTGGAGAACAGAGAGCTCTCGGAGAGCTCTAGGACACCTTCTAGGACAGAGCTTGCAGACATCTTCCTCTGCAATAGGAAAGAGGCCAGCATGTACTATCAAATACTGAAAACAGTAGTATAAGTATGCTATTAAGAAATATGGAGGGGCGTCAGGGTGGCTCAGTTGCTTAAGCACTGGACTTTGGCACAGGTCCTGATCTCTCAGTTGGTGAGTTCGAGCCCCGCCCCCTCCCGGTGTTGCTCTGTGCTGACAGCTCAGAGCTTGGAGCCTGCTTGGGATTCTGTGTGTCCCTCTCCCTCTGCCCCTCCCTTGCTCATGCTGTGTTTCTCTCTCAAAAATAAAAAATAAACATTAAAAAAAATTTAAAGTAATATGGAGATATACATTTTGGAAGAAACACTTAAAAGAATTGAAACTGGTTGCTTGTGAAGAGAGGAAGGACACAAGACAACAGTTATTTGTTCTAATCCTCATAGAATTATTTTACTCTTTATTTCTTTTATTTATTAATTTTAAAAATTTTTTAACGTTTATTTATTTTTGAGAGACAGAGCACGAGAGGGAGAGGGACAGAGAGGGAGACAGAGGATCCAAAGCAAGCTCTGCGCTGACAGCAGACAGCTTGATGCAGGGCTGGAAAACCACAAACTGTGAAATCATGACCTTAGCGGAAGTCAGACACTTAACCAACTGAGCCACCCAGGTGCCCCTATTTATTTATTTTTTAATGTTTATTTATTTTTGAGGAAGAGAGAGAGAGACAAACAGAGCATGAGCAGGGGAGGGGCAGAGAGAAAGGGAGATACAGAATCTGAAGCCAGCTCCAGGCTCTGGGTTGTCAACAACAACGTGGGCCTCAAACCCAGGAACTGTGAGATCATGACCTGAGCCAAAGTCTGCTATTTAACCAACTGAGCCACCCAGGCTCCCCAATTTTAAAAATTTTTTTTAATCTTTGAATTTTTAAAAAATTTTCTTTCTCTCAATCCCTGTATCCAGTCAATCAGTCAATCACATCACCAAGACAGCAGACACTAGCAGACAGAAGCACCTTTGGAATTGAATCTTCAACCCCCCTGCCAGTCTCAGTGCAGAGCCTCCTCACTTGTGGTCCCCACTATCCCTCCCAATATCCAGCTTTCTGTGTAATCCTCTTCCAACCTAGAATCATGCTTCTACTGCTCTGGTTCCAGTGCTTTGAGAGTTCCCTAGAGATTTTAGGGTAAAGCTCGAACTCCCAAGTAAGATCAAACCATAAAGCACTGAATGATTTGACTACCACTGCATGATTCTGACCTATCGCACTTATTGTATCTCAAGCCTATCCATGTTGCAGTTACAACAGTAATGAGTGCCTTAGAGTTATGCATTTGGCATAACCCAATGCTATTCCCTTTATTGGAATTCCTTCTACCTCCTATGTTTAACTAACTCCTATTTATTCTTCAGAGTTCTGAACTTGATATATACTTGGAGGGGGCTGTTTCTGTTTATTTCTATAGCGGGAATACATTTGTCCTGGTATAATCTTACTCTTCTCTCTGACCACTCTCTTTTTTTTCTTATTCTTTTTTTATTATTATTTTTAATTTACATTAAAGATGTAAATTAAGTTAGTTTAGCTAACATATAGTGCAATAATGATTTCAAGAATAGAATTTAGTAATTCAACACTTACATGTAACACCCAGTGCTCATCCCACAAGTGTCCTCCTTAATGCCCCTTGCCCATTTAGACCCCACCCAGAACCCCTCCAGCAATCCTAATTTTGTTCTCTGTATTTAAGAGTCTCTTATGTTTTGTCTCCCTCCCTGTTTTTATATTATTTTTGCTTGCCTTTATGTTCATCTGTTTTGTATCTTAAATTCCACGTATGAGTGAAATCATATATTTATCTTTCTCTGACTTATTTCACTTACCAAAATGCACTGTAGTTCCATCCACATTGTTGCAAATGGCAAGATTTCATTCTTTTTAATCGCCCAGTAATATTCCATCGTATACATATACCATATCTTCTGTATCCATTCATTAGTTGATGGACATTTGGGCTCTTTTCATACTTTGGCTATTGTCAATAGTGTTGCTATAAACATTGGGCTGCATGTGCCCCTTTCAAACAGCACTCTTGTATCCTATGGATAATACCTAGTAGTGCAATTGCTGGGTCATAGGATAGTTCTATTGTCAATATTTTGAGGAACCTCCATACTTTTTCCAGAGTGGCTGCACCAGTTTGCATTCCCACCAGCAGTGCAAAAGGGTTCCTCTTTTCTCCGCATCCTTGCCAACATCTGTTGTTGCCTGAGTTGTTCATTTTAGCCATTCTGACAGGTATAAGTGGTATCTCATTGTGGTTTTGATTTGTATTTCCCTGATAATGAGTGATATTGAGCATTTTTTCCTGTGTCTGTTAGCCATCTGGATGTCTTTGGAAGTGTCTATTCATGTCTTTTGCCCATTTCTTCACTAGATTTTGTTTCTGGGTGTTGAGTTTGAGAAGTTCTTTATAGATTTTGGATACTAACCCATTTGCAGATATGTTCTCCTATTCCGTCAGTTGCCTTTTAGTTTTGCTGGTTGTTTCCTTCGTGTGCAGAAGCTTTTATCTTGATAAAGTCCCAATAGTTCATTTTTGCTTTAGTTTTCCTTGCCTCTGGAGATGTGTCAAAAAGTTGCTACAGCCAAGGTCAAAGAGGTTGTTGCCTGTTTTCTCCTCTAGGATTTGGATGGCTTCCTGTCTTATGTTTAGGTCTCTTGTCCGTTTTGAGTTTATTTTTGTGTACGGTGTAAGAAAGTTGTCCAGGTTCATTTTTCTGCGTATTGCTGTCCAGTTTTCCCAGCACCATTTGCTGAAGAGACTGTCTTTTTTCCATTGAATATTCTTTCCTGCTTTGTCAAAGATTGGTTGGCCATATGCTTGCGGGTCCATTTCTGGGTTCTGTATTCTGTTCCATTGATCTATGTATCTGTTTTTGTGCCAGTACCACACTGTCTTGATGATTACAGATTTGTAATACAGCTTAGAGTCTGAATTGTGATGCCTGCAGCTTCAGTTTTCTTTTCAAGGATTGCTTTGGATATTCAGGGTCTTTTCTGGTTCCCTAAAAAATTTAGGATTGTTTGTTCTAGCTCTGTGAAGAATGATGGTGTTATTTTGATAGGGATTGCTATTTTACATTTTAAACAGAAAGCAGACATTACTTTAGTACAAATAACAGTTAAATTTTAAAAAGAAAAAACTCTGTAGTCCAAAAAAACTATATTATTATCAATTGCATACATCATTCATGAGTACGGGCATTTGCTTGAGTGTGTATAATTTATATTGTGCTCAGTAGAGCTTACTAACAGACAAGACTTTAGTGAGGTGACCTGTGAATACTGTTTGTTAAGGAAAAGGGGATGGGTGGAATCATTGCATCAGATCAGAGGCAAAGCACAGTAATTTGAAAAAGCAGTTCTTTATGATTAATTCTTAAGAGTAAAAATTCTGATGTCCAATAATAAGGGGTGAATGATATACATTATGGTGTATCCATAGGACAAAACACTTGGCAATCATAAAAACACTTGCATTTTAGTAAAACATCTAATGACAAAATCACATAGGTTGTTAAATTTAAAAGGCAGGAAATAGGGGCTCTTGGCTGGCTCAACTGGTAGAGCATGCAACTCTTCATCTCAGGGTTGTGAGTTTGAGCCCTGCTGCGTGTGGAGCCTACTTTAAGAGGCAGAAAACAGATGCTTAATATAAAAAAGATTATATTTAAAAAACCACATGTAGAAAAAAAACTGGAGGGAATCCAAGGTAATTATTTTATATATGTTTTCTCCTCCTCCTCTCCCACTTTACCCCCAGTTTTCTCCAATGTAGTATTTTCCTAAAGTGATTCTCTAACAGAACTAAGTCTATTAAGATATCATTACCCTGTGCTGCTTTACCTGTAGGTTCTTTGACATTTAGAAATCTTCCTGAGAATGTCATAGTCCTGTCTAAGGCAGTCCCTATCATTAAGTGTATTTTGGTACTGGGTGCCAGGAAGAGGGAGTAGAAAGTCTTAACTACAAAATAGCTGTGTTTCAAATCAGAGAACTCTAGATGCTGGCGAGGATGTGGAGAAACGGGCACCCTCCTGCACTGTTGGTGGGAATGTAAACTGGTACAGCCCCTCTGGAAAACAGTGTGGAGGTTCCTCAGGAAACTAACAATAGAACTCCCTTATGACCCAGCAATAGCACTGCTAGGAATTTACCCAAGGGATACAGAAATGCTGAGGCATAGGAGCACATGTACCCCAATGTTCATAGCAGCACTCTCCACAATAGCTAAAACATGGAAAGAGCCTAAGTGTCCATCAACAGACGAATGGATCAAGAAGATGTGGTTTATCTATACCATGGAATACTACATGGCAATGAGAAACAATGAAATCTGGCCATGTGTAGCAACATGGATGGACCTTGAGGGTGTTATGCTGAGCGAAATAAGTCAGGCAGAGAAGGACAAATACCATATGTTTGCACGTATAGGAGGATTAGGAGGAACTTGACGGAGGAACAAGGGGGAGAAGAAGGGCGGAAATGGTGGAGGAAAGGGAGAGAGGCAAACCATGAGAGACTCTTGAATGCTGACAAAAACTGAGGACTGATGGATGTGGGGGGGAGGGGGGGATGGGCATGAAGGAGGGCACTTTGGGGATGAGCACTGAGTGTTATGTAGAAACTAATTTGACAATAAACTATTTGTAAAAAAAAAAAAAAATAGCTGTGTTTCTTGTGACTGAAAAAACATATAGTGAGACAAATAAGTTGAAATAAAAGCGATGTAAACTTTATTGCTTGTATATGTAGAGATTGAATCTGTATCATGTCTGCAATTTGTATCAGACTTCTAGGCTGTGAACGCTTAGAGGATGTACAGAGGCTGTGTCTTGTATTAGTACATTAAATTGAACAAATATGTATGGAATGCCTACTACATTCCAGGTATTGTGCTGGGATATTCTGGTGAGCAATGGATATGTTCCTTACTTCATGTAGCATGGAGAATAGAAGGGAAGAGGGATGCCTGTCTGGCTCAGTCAGTAGAGCAGGTGACTCTTTTTTTTAATGTTTACTTTTATTTTTGAGAGACATAGAGCACAAGCAGGGAGGGGCAGAGAGAGAGGGAGACAGAATCTGAAGCAGGCTCTAGGCTCTGAGCTGTCAGCACAGAGCTTGACGTGGGGCTTGAACTCACAAACCACGAGATCATGACCTGAGCTGAAGTCAGACGCTTAACCTACCAAGCCACCTAGGTGCCCCAAGCATGTGACTCTTGATGTTGGAGTTACGTGTTTGAGCCCCATGCTGGCTGTAGAGATTGCTTAAAAATAAAATCTTAAAAGAAAAAAAGAAAGAAGGGTAGGTAAATGATTAAATAAATAATCATAAAAAGCTTGATGAGTAAAATGATTAGGAAAGTACAGAGGAGACAAATCTGGTTGGGTGAACCTCTCAGGACATAATGTTTAAGGTTAAAAAATTCTAGTATCTTGCCATAGAGGGTAAACATACTTGTTTAACTGGTAAATAAAAAAGATCCTGTAAGTTGATTCTTGAGCTGACTCCGGGGCTCATTTACAATCTTTGGTTAAGAATGCCGTATGCCAAGAGGGCCAGACTAAACTGCATATCCAGGCTCATGTGTGAACCAGGGACCCAACAGACTAAGGATAACTGAGGGCCAAAGTGAACATTCAAGGTTGCTCTCAACGTACTGGGCTTGGTAGGCTGAGCACGTATTCCTAGAACAGGTCTAGAGCCAGATCTGCTGGGGACGCGGGGTCCTAGGGAGTGTGATTTCTCCAACACTTAAAAATTTTTTCCCCTTCAGCAGGAAGTCATTATGTGACTAACACGTTTTCATCAGATTTCCTCTGATTTACGCTGAAGTGTATGTGAGAATGATGTGCACTGCCAAAAAATGTGGAATTAGGTTCCAGCCTCCAGCTATTATCTTAATCTATGAGAATGAAATGAAGGGGAAGAGTCGCCAACGCATCATGCCAGTCCGAAACTTTTCAAAGTTTTCAGGTACCTCATGTTTTATCTTACCTATCTTAAATTTTCTCTAAAAGACACTTAATAAAAATGATTTGAATCTCATAACAAAGTGACATGGCCTGCAGAGTTACACAGTGTTAGGTTCAAATCTGACTGTCAGGGTAGATGTGTGAACCCAGCTAAATGACTTATTCTCAATGAGCTTCAGTTTCCTAATCTGTAAGAGGAAATTGATAATCCCACCCATTCAGAATTGCATATGGGTTAAATGAGATAGCATTATTCAATAATATTAACTCCCTTCTCTCCCTCCAAATGCGTTTTTTATGTACAGTCTTGATATTAGCACCAGTACTAATATCTGAAACTGTAATAATACCTTTTCATTTGAGATGTTTTCTCCAGTTGCAAGTATGTAACATCTCCTCAAAGTGATTTTTAAATTAAGGAAATAAAAAATGCATTCCCCTCCCACCTCCCCCACTCAAAAGTCAATATAAAGGAATAGTTCTGCAAAACGATTCACTCTGAAAAAGCCACTCTGTTATAATAGCAGATAATAGCTATAATAAGAGATAATGCTTTCAGTAGTTTGTGGTACATCAATACTTTGTGGTGTGCGTGTTATGCGCAGTATACAGTTTTGTTTTTCCCTCCTAGATTGCAACAGAGCTGCTGAACAATTAAAGAACAATCCACGACACAAGAATTACCTGGAACAAGTGTCCCTGAGGCAGCTAGAGAAGTTATTCAGTTTTTTACGAGGTTATTTGTGGGGGCAAAGTTTGGCAGAAACCATGGAACAAATTCAGCGGGAAACAATGATTGATCCTGAGGAAGACCTGAACAAACTAGATGACAAGGAACTTGCCAAAAGAAAGAGCATCATGGATGAACTTTTTGAGAAAAATCAGAAGAAGAAGGACGATCCAAATTTTGTTTATGACATTGAAGTTGAGTTCCCACAGGATGAACAACTGCAGTCTTGTGGCTGGGACACAGAGTCAGCTGATGAGTTCTGATACCAGAATCTCAAAGAATGTATTGGGCTAGCAGAGAACCACGTTTATACAGTCTTTGTATACTTGTGTAATTGTACAATACGATTGTATAATGCAATATAATAATATGATTATACAATTACAAAGAATGTATAAACATGGTTCTAGAAAAATCCATAAAAAGCACTAAATGTACATATTGGGTCATGTTTGGATTGACCACGTTGCTTTTCAAAACTGAAACATGTAGAGTATCTATCATGTAGATGCATGAGGAATATGGGAAAAACAGAATATAGGACTGTGCTTTTAAGGAGCTTACAATCTAACTGGAAGATAAGTCAAAAACTTGTGAGAAGCTCATTAACAGAATTAGGCAGCAAAAAGATTAGAGCCAAATGCTTGATAAATGTTAAAGAGGGCCAGAGCCTAGATTACCATAGGGTAGAATAGTCAGGGAAGACTGCCCTGTAGTGGAGAGATGGGACTTGGCGTGGCCCTTGAAATGGTAATATTTGGATAGAAGTTTATATAGAATTCCAGATGAGAGAAACTGGAAGAAAGAAAAAGGGGAGGAGGTTAATAATAAAGAGATAGGGATGAGAACATTTTATTTGAGGAGCAGAAAGCAAATTCTAGTTTGCTAAGATTGGAGGGCATACATGGTTACCAGGGGATTATCTTGGATACATTATGTCTTTATGTATATTTAACTGTGGAGTAGAAGAGCGGGCCTCCCGGAGGCCCTGCTGCTGCACGTGGATGTCATCTGATGGACAGCAAGGGGAATTCTGTCCCTCCAGGATCAGGAAATACATTCTAAAGACATTCTGAAACCTGAAGCTCTTCCCATAACTACAGAACTTTGTTTGTAAAATGGGAAATCTACCCATACTAAATGAACAGTAGGTATTGCCAGTTTAGGCTTATTTATGAGTTTGGATCTACAAAGGGAAGATCTTTGTTGGACCAGGTTATACGTGTACAGTTACATCTTTCTTCTTACTAGAATATTGTTTCACTGGCAGATAGTCTATGTTTCCTGCAAGGAAATTAATATTAAATAATTCATTCTTTCTACCTGTTCATCCCTACTCTCTTTACCATTAAAAGCTCCATTAAGGGGATCATTCTTTTTTTTTTTTTTTTAAGTTCATTTTGAGAGAGAGAGTGCACATGGGAGGGGCAGAGAGAGTGAGAGGAAGGGAGAGAGAGAACTCAAGCAGGCTCCGTACTGTCAGTACAGAGCCCAATGTGGGACTTGAACTCATGAACCGTGAAATCATGACCTGAGCCAAAATCAGGAGTCAGGCACTTTACCAACTGAGCCACCCAGACGCCCCAAAGAGATCATTCTTATAGTGATATCACCAGGGGCTTAAGATGGTCGTGTGTTATATGTATAATATTTGCCAAAGGTAGCAAGAGAATTTTCAGAATCGGAGATTCTTCAGTATCTACGTTGTATTCCATTGTATAGATGTAGATGATAGATTTTAAAAGTTGACCTTAGGTTGTTTATCCTTTCACTGTTAGAAACAATGCCACGGCAACTAACCTTGTACATTCTCTGTTTTGTGCCTTTGTAAAACTGTACATAATTCCTAGAGGGGGAATTTCTGGGTATGTCTACTCTAAGTTTTTTTTCTAAATTTTAATAGATATTGCTAAGTTGTCCTTCAAAGAAGTTTGTTCATTCATTCAGTATATGTACTTAATGAACACCTATTATGTGCTGAGCCTGTACTATTCTAGAGTCTGTGTACACAGCAGTATGCACAACAAAATCCTTGCCTTTGCAAGGTTTACAGTCTAATGGGAGAGTAGAGATAATAAACAAATATATAGAATAATGCCATATAGTAAGTGCCTGTAATTAAAAACAGGGTAAAAAGAGAATGGTGGAGGGGTTGGGAGCCACTTTTTTTGGCAGTGGTCAGAGAATGCATCACCATAGAAGTGACATTTGAGTAAAGACCTGAAGGAGGTAAGGAAAAACTGATGTGCATTTCATGAGCAGTAGGGAACAGTAGGTGCATAGGCACCCAGGACAGGAGTGTACGTGGCTTATTTGAAGAGGGGCAAGGACACAAATGTGGCTAATTTGGATTGAACAAGAGAAAAATGGTAGAGGTGAGGCTGGAGTGTATTTTTACCAATGCACAGTGCTTACATGAAGGTCCTTCCAGTTTAATTGCCAGCAGTATGTGAGAGGATCTGGTTTCCCCACATGCTCGTCAAAAGGCAGTGTTATCAAACTCACTGATCTTTGCCAATTCTATAATTTAAAAATAGTATCTCATAGCCTTGGGAGGTTTTGTTTTGTTTTTATAGCTCAGAGTTTTAATTTGCATTTCTTTTATTACGAGTGAGACAGAGCATCTTCATACACTGAAGGGCAGTTTTTTTTTTATGAAATAACTCACATCATTTGCTCATTTTTTCTATTGTGTTGCTGGTCTTTTTCTTACTGATTTGTAAAAAGTTCTTTATTAAGGGAAATAGTTCTTGATCTATGATATGAATTGTAGGTATTTTCACCTTTGTTCTTTGCTTTTTGACTTTGTTTATGATATTTTTGCCAGGCAGATTATTTTCTAGTCAAATTGATCAATATTTTTCTCTGTGCTTCTGCATTTTTGTCCTATATAGAGGGGGCATTCTTCACTCCAACTTTTTTTGTTTTTGTTTTATCCCATGGTTTTTTCTACACAGGAATTTATTTTGGTATAAGACATGAGATGTGACTCCCAACTTTACTTTTTCCCAGATGCCCATCCAACTGTCCCAACACTATTATATATTGGATTGCCTATCTTTTCCCCCAATGATTTGGAGTGCAAGTTCCCATATGTATCAAAACACTTCTCTTTTAATTATGTTAATGTCATCTGTAGCACACTTTCCCAGTCCATGTTTTTTAGTGTTTATTGAGCACATCTCCTGTTCACTAAATTAAGAGCTATAGTAAGATACAAAATGGGCCATAACTTTTGTTTTTGAGATACTAACATAGTTTAGCCAAGCAACAAAACTAACATATATGAGCTAGAGGTACTGACCCTATCTAAAGCAGGAGAGGGCAGAAGTCACATGAGCTGAGCAGTCAGGTGTTTTTTTTTTTTTTTTTTTTTTTATGTATCTTATCCAAAGCTAATTCTGTTGAGCTCTTCAAATTTTTTTCTCATTATAAAATGAATACAGTCAATACCCATTATTTTAAAAATATAGACAAATACCAGGGTGTAAAAGTGCAATGGGAAAATTCTCCCCTCAACTTCACTCAATTCCCACTCTGCAGAGAATCTGGCTTCCCTAGAGGGCTCTGGAGCTCATCTTCTCCTGTGACTTTCCTTCACCAATATTCTCTCTCTCTATCTCTTTCTCTCTCTTTCTCTCTCTCTTTCTCTCTCTGCCCCTGTCTTTCCCATTTTCAGCTTCATTCTCTGCTGGTTCATTCTCTATAGACTGTAAATATACCTAAGACCCTGCCATATTAAAACAAGAAAACACATTACTTTGTCTTTATTTACCTAATACCATTTCTAACCAAATTATAGCTCATCTAGTTGTTAGATAAATCTAACCCTTTCCCCACCATTGCACCCTGTAGAGCATATCTGACTGCAGTCTAATTCTAGACTAGCCTAGAGATGCATGCTTAGCCGATGAAACTCAATACTTGAAGAGCTGCCCTTATAGTTCAGTTTGGCCCTGGGTTATTCTCGGTCTAAGAACCTCTGGTTCATTGACAGGTGTGCGTTTGTTCACATGTGAGCCTGGAAATAAAATTTAGTATGGACCTCTTAGTATACTGTAGTGTATTTTAAGAGAGAGAGAGAGACAGAGCATGAGCAGGGGCAGTGCAAAGAGAGAGAGTGAAACACAGAATCTGAAGCAGGCTCCAGGCTCTGAGCTGTCAAGCACAAAGCTTGGTGTGGGGCTCGAACCCACAATCCATGAGATCATGACCGGAGCCGAAGTCGGATGTTCAACTGATTGAGCCATCCAGGTGCCCCTAGTATACTGTAGTCTTAACCCAAAATTGTATATAAATCCCTGGGTCATCATAAGAATTAAGCTGACGGGCTTTTTCTATTTACTGATTAAACAAGTAGGTATCAAGCACCCTCTATGTCAAGGCACTGTGAGTGATCAACTTAAACATGTCTGGAGAGGTTCACCAGATCTCTCTTGCACTTTTGCAATTATTTTACTCATAACTTTTTTTTGTAATTCTTTAATCACCTACCTAATATTTTGACAAAAATAGTAGATGAAAATTGAGAAAAGACCATTAGATTTGATAGCTAGGTCTCTTAGTATTCAAGAATGAAACTTGAGAGGTGCCTGGGTGGCTCAGTGGTTAACCTTCTGACTCTTGATCTCAGCTCAGGTCTTGATCTCAGGGTCATTAGTTCAAGCCCCACGTTGGGCTCCATGCTGGCCATGGAGCCTACTTATAAAAGGGGGTGGCACTCCTGGGTGGCTCAGGTGGCTAAACGTCTGACTCTTGATTTCAGCTCAGGTCATGATCTTATGGTTGGTGAGATCAAGCCCCACTGGTGCGGAGCCTGCTTGAAATTCTTTCCCTCTCTCTGCACCCTCCCTGCTCACACATGCTCGCTCTCTCTCTCTCTCTCTCTCCCTCCCTCTCTCAAAATTAATAAATAAAACTTTAAAAAAGAAAAGAATGAAGCTTTAAGGGAGTGAATAGGATAGAAATTTCAGGATATTAGGTAGGAAACACAGGATCATGAACCTAAATGAAAAAGCTAAAACTATACAGCTTTTAGAAGAAAACAAAGAAGAGAATCTTTCTAACCCTGTTGTCTCACTTCTGGCTATTATAACAAAATACCATAAACCAGGTGGCTTGTAAACAACAGAAATTTATTTCTCATATTTCTGGTGACTGGAAGCACAAGTTCAGGTGCCAGCCTGTTTGATCTCTTGGCAAGAACCCTCCTCTGTGTTGCAAGCTATCCACTTGTAGTATCTTTGCGTGGTGGAGAGCAGAGCAGAGCTCTCTTGGCACTCATTTTAAGAGCATTATTCCTGTTCATAAGAGCTCCACCCTTATGACTGCATCTAATTCTAATTACCTCCCAAAGGCCCTACCTTGTAACGCCAACACTTTGGGTGTTTGGGCTTCAGGGTATGAATTTGGGGAGGACATAAATATTTAGTGCATGACACTAGGTTTAGGCAAAGAGGTCATATAATTGACAACAAAAGCCTGATTTATAAAAGGGAAAAATGGATATATTGGACTTCATCAACATTTAAAAATTTTGTACTCTAAAGACAACACTGAGAACATTTTCAACTATACTCAAAAAAAATTGAGAACATAAAAAAAGAATACACAAACTGAGAGAATATATCTGCAGATCAAATCTGAAAAAGGACTTGTATCCAGCATATAAAAAGAACTCTTACAACTCAATAATAAAAGAAAGAACCCAATTTATTTTATTTTTTAAAAAATTTTTAATGTTTTATTTATTTCTGAGAGAGAGAGACAGCGTGAGCAGAGGAGGGCCAGAGAGAGAGGGAGATACAGAATCTGAAGCAGGCTCCAGGCTCTGAGCTAGCTGTCAGCACAGAGCCTGACGTGGGGCTCGAACCACAAACCGTGAGATCATGACCTGAGCTGAAGTCAGACACTTACCCAACTGAGCCACCTAAGCGCCCCAAAGAGAACCCAATTTAAAAATGAACAAACGACTTGCATAGACATTTTACCAAAGAAGATATGTATATGATTAATAAGCACTTGAAATGATGTTCAACATCATCAGCCATTAAAGAAATGCAAATTAAAAGGACAATGAGATACTACTTCACACCCACTAGAATGTCTATAATCAAAAAAGATAATTACAAGCATTAGTGAGGATACAGAGAAACTAGAACATTGTTGGTAGGAATGTAAAGTGGTACAGCCATTTTGGAAAACAGTTTGGCAGTTTCTTAAAAAGTTACACAAAAACTTACTATACTACCCAGCAGTTCCACCGCTGTTATCTATGTAAGAGAAATAAACACATGTGTCCGCCCAAAGATTATACTTGAAT